ATATATATATATATATACAACAGGGCCTTATTTTCTGGAAAACATGGGTACGTTTAGTCTACTCTTCCCTGAAGGGATTTTATCTGCCTTTCAGGGAGGATTAATAAACACAACATCTTAAGTGCTGTCAGGCCTGCAGCCATATTTGCTTGTGGATCTGTGGCCTGCCACACTTTCTATTATTCTACTACACCTTTTCTGTTGTGGGAAAATGGGAGGGGGAATTGTAAGGAGTGAGATGCTATGTAGCCATAACAAAATCCTTTGTAGAAGGCCAAGGTCATCCTTTGTCTCTGCACCTCTGCACCTGACTGGAACTGGACGGGTGGAACTGCCTGTGTGGCAGTGGGAGATTGGACCATGTGATGGACTTGTGGGTGTGGGGGCAAGATCTGGAACTTTGAACTGGGGTGGGGAAAACTGGGAAGCTTTAAGATTAGGGTTTCCCCAGATGTGCCATCATGGCTCTGTTCATCAATTGGAACTTTGAGGAATCCTTTGCCTTGGACTCTGATTTAATTTCGGATGCTATTTGGAACCCTGACACGTACAAGCTTATTTTGCATGGAAAGCAACCTTAGAAACACGTATGGAGGACTTACATGGAAACTGTTGTTACGTTTCCTACTTGTAAATGGGCGAAAATGTCTTTCCAAGAGGATAAGGGCACTGCGGTTGCTTTCTACAGCAAATCCAGTAATAGGAAACAAAAAAAGAAAAAAGAAAAAAAGAAAGCAGGCAATGAGTAACTTAACTACAGCTTGCAGGTTTACCTCAATTCCCAAAGCCTTGAGTATGTCACATTTACACATGGGGCAGGTCCTATGCTCCAGCAGCCAGGGATCAATACAGCTCTTGTGAAACAGATGGCTGGAAAAGAGAAAGAATTTATACACAGCATGACTCCACAGATCTGAGCAACATTTTTTTGCTAATTTTATAATATATATAGTTGACTTTTGGTTCACACATTATGTTTTTCTTAGTCATGGTCTGCTAATCAATCACCACTAGGTTTACTCACATATCATACAGGAATATACCACACCAAAATCCTGGTGTACTTTGATTTTGTTTCCTTGTCTTTTAAATCCAATGACAGTTTAAAAGGGCACAGAACCTTATCATCATTCAACAGCTAAAATAGGGAGTCTTGACAGGCATATAAAATATAGTCATATACGTCTGCTTGTAGGAATATTGTTATGCAGATGCTTTTCTTATTTTAGGACCCTGACAAAATGTGAAGATCTCAAATTTAAGTCTGCAGTTATTTAAAATAATAGTCCTATCTATAATCTATCTATCTATCTATCTATCTATCTATCTATCTATCTATCTATCTATCTATCTATCTATCTATCTATC